CTTAAAATTGCAAGATACATATTTGTAAAGAACATTTAATAAATCTTTTTGACACATTTTGACATATTGTCAGTGGAAATAATTTTATAAGCAGTAATGTGACATATTTCACGTCAGCCGCAAAATATTTTCAGAAAAATAAACGTTCGAAGACTGAATAAAAATTGTTCTATATTTGACTATAATTTAAAATGGCGTACTAGTGAGAAAGAAAGGGAATAGCAAAATGATATTATTACGGGACATAATTTACAACTTCTGTATAATTATGTTATTTAATGTAAGCTTATTTCAAATAATGCTTAGTTATACACTGATGTTAAAAGGAATATTGGTAAGATCAGAGAAATATTTTCTAAGGCGGAAAGAGAATCAAATTGTAAACGACGAAACAGTGTTGCGCAATTATTTTAAGCTGCGAGTTATTTTCACAATAATAAACATTCCGAAACATGACGGATTTTATGGCTGAAAATAATCAGTTATCTCAAATGAATAAAAAAATAAGTCAGATCTTTATTCCGCTCATCTCAAATCGTGAATAATGTGTTAAAGGTATCTACAGGTATCGTATGATATAATTTATTAATCATTTACTTATTTTCTTGCTACCGTCTGTTCTTTGGTCTTCTTCCTCATCTGGAATCCAGAAATAAGTTGTATTTATTGTCGAGTTATTTTGTTACTAAACGCACACTCGTTTGACACTGTGATGTCAACGAATACCCATTGTCACTTTCGTAATGCTCGTTGTAATCTTTGTAATCGCAGATACAGCTATAATAACGCCGTTAAACAATACTGGTGTCAGACGCCTTCGAATATCACTCGCAATAATAGTACTTGCTCGATAATACTCGCTTGAATAGTAGCCACCGTAGATGATGGAGAAATAGTATAGTGAATAGAGTAGAGAATAGCGGTCCGTATAGTAATAGAGAATAAAGTAGATATAGTGATCCGAATAGTACAGAGGCCGGACTAGTAAATAGCGATCACTAGCAGTATAATCCGTCTTCAACCGGGTGTTTCATTACTGGGTATTTTGCCAGTTCAATTGAAGCAGGTAAAGTTTAAAGTTAAGCCCACCCCAATGTTACTAATAACAATTCGGGCCAACTGAGACACATCCCCAAATAGGGGTTAACAATTTGAATGGGTGGTGAATTGCGTTCTCAATCTTGCAAGGAAGGAACCTCTTATCGATGGACCGTCATATTAATAATACGATACGATATTTTTATTTATAGTATCACACAGACACACACACACATATATACAACATATATATATATATATATATATATATATATATATGTGTGTGTGTTTGTTTATTTATTTTATTGGATTGATGTGAGTTTGTGACCTTGGGTTTCATATTTGTGATGGTTAGACAAAAATTTTTTTTTTTTTTTTTAGATTTATGTAGATGTTAGCTTTATCTCTGATATTAAGAATCCTTTAAATATTAATTAATAAATTATAATATATAAATAATAATATATATAATATATTACACACACACATATATAAACAAATATATTTGATATATATATATATATATATATATATATATAAATTTTCACAAAACACACACAATATATATATATACATATATATATAGTTTAATGAGAAGCCACGTATACTTTCTTAAATTTATATTTAAACATAAAAATTCAAATTGGAAAAATTATAATGTTTTATTTTATGAAAGTATTTATTTATTTATATATAAATAAAATATATATATATATATATATAAAAATATATTAATATTATATATATAATATAATATAATATATATAATAAATATAATATATATATTTATATATAAAAAAATATATATATTTTATATAAATAAATAAATTTTTCATAAAATAAAAAATTATAATTTTTTTAAAATGAAACTTTTTTATATATATATATATATATATAAAATATATATATATTTCTAACCTTAACGTTAAATTTCAATTCTTTAAATTGATTGTACGCTGCTTTTTTACAGACATTAAATTTTGTTCTTAAATTTTTTTGCGCAAAGTGTAAAAAATCAGTTTTTTTCTGATTTTTTTTTAATCTTGAAGTCTTGTAATTTTTTTTACAATCAATTTGGATTCGTAAAAAATGGCACTGAAGAATTATTTCAAAAAAAAAAATTCATCGAAATAGGATGAAAATTAGGGAAACAAATAAATAACATCCGATCACACGCATACAACATACGTACAGGCAACACGTTTTGGGAATTGTATATATATAGATTTACAATTCATAATTGATCTTTGCCTAAATTAGAGTTCGAACAGGATTTATAATTGGTGGGGAAATCTTAATGATATAAGATACTGCGTTCATAGAGCATTGATGACAGAATCTGAAAGAATAGTAAAATAACGTATATATAGATAGTAAAGGGAAGTCTATTTCAAAATTATATTCTATATATATATATATATATATATATATATATATATTTTTGTGTGTGTGTGTTAAAATGTGTGAATGTGTGTGTGTGTATACTAGCAGCATGGCCCGGCGTTGCCTGTGCTTGATTCAAAATCGTACGACCCATACAGCAATCGCTATCACTTGACTTAAAATATTTTGCCCTTCCTTGCCTTTTAAAGGAGTGCCCTTTGCCGTGCTGATGTTGCTACATGCCTTACTTCTTGCCTATTTCACACTGCGAATTTTTCTAAGCTCTATACTAAACATTAAATCTGTTACGAAAAAAGAACTAAACAAAATGAACACAAATCGATCAGCTTTAAAAAAGGACAAGAACTGGAAAAACCGAATGAAAAAAGAATGTTAACAACATATACTTTTTCACGCCCAAACCCAGTTCTGCGGAGTGAGAATCAACGTTGAGTTTAAGCAAGCGAATGAGCCAATTGGAGTAAAGTGCCATGCAGATTTAAATTTTTCCCACTTGTGACGAATGCAGCTATCGGATTTTTGCATGCTACCTTGCTAGTTAACATTCGTCTCAGTCAGCTGTTGCCTCTCACGCTGGCCAATAGAATCTTCCTGCCTATTCCTGGCAGCCAGCTATAGGCTTTCACTCTGGCCAGTAGAAAATGGCCGCAAACTACATGAAAACTGCCGTAGAAGCATGAAAAAATCGATTATTTCCACTATCGATGGGAGTTGGGAAATGCAAAGTCAGTTTTGGCTTTCCCGCTAACTTGCAGCATGTGCATGTAAATTTTGGTGCAAATCCGTCGAAAATTACGGCCAGTGTGCATTCGTTACACACACACACACACACACACACACACACACATCCTGCATTTTACACACATTTACACATATATATATATATATATATATATATATATATATATATATATATATATATTTAACATTTGTTTCTTCAGGCGACGTAAAAGAGAATTTGCTCAAGCACAAAATATTTGAAAACTTCATTTTGAAAAACTAAACGAAATATTAAGTAACAGGAAAAAATTTTAGAAAAAAGAAAATTTTAAAACATGATTTAATATCATTTTGAATGAGATTCTGAATTTTGATAATTTTTAACAGATGAAAAGAAGAACACTCGGCTGGCATTGTGCAGAAGAATGCTGAGAATGCCAAAGACTGAGTTTGTGAGAAATTAAACAGTTTCAACGAAAATGGGGAAAAAAATAAAGTCACTTCGAATCATTAAGAATTGACATTACAAAGACATAAAAGGAGGCATCGTAGAGTAATAGATTGATGAATCGGAGAGACGAGTTCGATTTCCAGTCGAATCCATTACATTCACTTACGTGCTAATACCCATGCGAAACGTATGAATCTTCTTCTTGTCCCCCAGTTAGTGGTACAATAGCAGGACAGACCGTGTTCATAAAGCCTTGATGGCAACTTTTGTGCCAGTTATGGACAAATAGCAGGACAGAACGGGTTCTATACACTTGAATGACAACTGTTCTACCACAGAAAAAATAACAACCTATTGGGGGAAAAAAATCTGCCTCGTCAATCATGTATCGAAACTTACATGATTGCCTAAGCGTGTATCACGCATAGCACATGACTGACTGAAGACATATAATGAAGGAAGTGTTTTAAAAACATAATATTCGGAGGATATATTGAAGTCAAGAGGAGAAGATTGAAAAAGGAAATAAAAGAGCCTTTTTAAATGGATAGCAGAATAGGGACTTTGAGAGATACTTAGAGCTATAAAAGATAGGTAAAGAGAGGTGTAGATTTATGGACACCCACATCCTGATAGAATAAAATATATAATATTTATAAAATGGACTATTTCTAAATGTCATTTTTATTTATTTTTTGTGTGTGAGATTGGGTATAATATGTTTATAAATAGAAATCTCAGCTATAACTGATATTAGACACAGAAAAAAATTTTACGAATTGAGGTGCATCCAATTCCTAAACGTCAAGAGACGTGAACTACAAAGGTATGAAAGTAAATAACTCAAGTACAAAAATTAAAATATCTGAGAATTTTCATAAGAAAAGACTGGAATTCAACACCGAACACACATTGTTATAGCAAATGTTGCCTTCTAGAATCAAAGCAAATATTATGATACAATAAAATTACATTAGTAACAATGGAAAGAGTGCTTAGGAGTTATGTAATATGGGTCCTTCTACAGGGAAGTAAGTGCTTGTCAAAGATCTCATCGAAGAAGAGAACTGGGAATGTTGAGAATACTAGGGTCTGAACATTTTACTAACGAGATATTTTTAAAGAAATTGAAAACAAAAATAGAAAAATCGTGAAATTCAGAAACAAACAAAAACAAGAATTTTAGGCAAATAATGAGGAAAAATGAAATTTCTTTTGTTACATGATATATTCCTTTGCAAGAAGAACAAACGGAACCATTGAATGACCTATTTGACAAGCTTAATTATGGGATTGGCAGAACAGGAGTATGAAGGAGAGTAAAAGACACCTAACTAAAAGCTGCAAATAACTGATAGCTATGGCAATCCATTCATTGAGGAACACATCACTTAGAATAAAAAAGTAGATAGATAGATAGATAGATAGATAGATAGATAGATAGATTATAACTACTCTCGTTGATTCTGTCTGTCCAACAAGAGAATCCTTAACAATAACCTAACAGGTTTATGTAAATGATTCTCGGAACAGGGAAAAGAAAGGATCGTAAGAAGACAAACCTTGAATTTTATAATTCAAGAATTTATTGTCGGACACATATTCTGAAGGGAGACAAACATAATAAAAGTAAGAGTATAACGGGTCTTATTTTATTCTATTAATCATGATAATCCTGACTTCAAAACACGGTTACATTAGGCCTGCTTTAGTGTTGCATTTATTCCAACCGCTTTAAATTGATATTTTATTCAGATAGCGTATTTTGCGTCAAATGTTTCTTCTTTCCTCCATCTCACAAATTGATGTGGTTTTGAATATAGACAAAACTTATTCTTTGCCGGTTGCTTTTTTCAGGGATTTGAGGTTACCCCGTCCCTCCTTCCATAAGATCTCCCGCCGATTGATAAAACCGTCTCCATCTGAGGTGCAGATGTTACACGGAGGCTTGTGACTGACCGATGACCGCTTATCACAAGTGGGTTGGAGAGTGGCATTTTTCTTCAGCAGTCAGGTTGGTAAAACCTTTCGACTATTCTTAACGTATTATATCATTGATATATATAAATATGTATGGACCAGTAGAGTTCCACATCTTATCTTCAAAAATTATTGTAATTTTCCGTCTCAGATTTATTAAAAATTGCAAAGATATTAACACTGACGATACATCTATATATTTATGAATATACGAGCAATATATATATATATATATATATATATATATATATATATATATATATATTGTTATAATAAAAAAAATAAAAAGATAATAAATATTTTTAAATAAATTATAATTGATAACATTTTATTTGTTTATTTTTTCAAAAATTTCATACTTAATAATTCTCGTTTTCATTCTCGCGTGGTCATGTGTGACGTTTGCGATGCAATTTTTTTCGTCTATATACACGAGTTAGTTGTTGCTTTGAAATTTTTCATGCAACAAAAACAAACTATCATTATTGTTTCGTCCGTGTATTGATTGATATATTGAAAAGTAATTGTCATCTTTGATAATGGCTTATGTAAGCCGAAAGCTTAGATTGGATTTAAACATGTATCAATATGGTGATTTTCTTTTTCGTCTTTCAATGATAATGTTATTAAGCTTATCAGACAATATGAAAGGAGATTACTTAAAATAAATAGACAAAACTTGTCTATATTATTTAATGAAACATGCATCAATGAAAAATTGCTGCCTAAATATATATATATATATATATATATATATATATATATATATATATATATATATATTACTACTTTCATCAATATAATATATATGTGGTGGACTTTTCCGTTGTATTCGACCATGAGGGTCAACCCGTCCAGTTCTAAGAAACGAAAGCTGGCACCAGCACATATGATTTTTTTATAGTGGTGAAGGCTTTTTGCAGAACGATCAATATATTTTGAAGGGCCGAATAGAGACCTGTTGCAACACGTACCACAAGGTCCCCAAACGACCCTACGCAGGTTTTGAATTCATCTTTTTTTCCTTCGCCTAACCCAGTTGCAATCCAAGGCTATAGAACCCAGTCTCTCCTGCTATTTACCCATAGGATGGAGGGAGAAGAAAGAGGATTAATACTTTGCCAAGGGTATTAGTTCGTAAGTGAATTTAATGGATTCGACTGGAATTCGAATGGGCTCTGATTCTCAATCCGATTCGTTTATCAATCCGAAGAGCCTGCTATCCATCGTGATATATATATATATGGCTATATATATATATATATATATATATATATATATATATTATATATTATTTTTGTATGAGCACCATCAAACAAGACAGAATTTCGATTATCCCCTCTTGGGATCCTTCCATTTCAGCGGTGATTGCTCTTCGATATTCTTCCAATATGATTTTTTTCATTGCCATTGCTAATGGCTTCAAGTCTCTAACATCTGCTTTCTCTTCCGTATATTATGCTGATTTTTAGGCTTTCGAGGTTACATTTCATATGATCCTTTTCTGTGCACCTTCCATTAGTCTTAGTGAACGAATCAATTTCTTATTTAATATCCAGGTTCCAGGTCCATATGTAAGAGTTGGGCTGATGCATTAGTTATAGATCCTTCTTCCAAAGAATTTTTTCCGGGAGAAAATTATTACGCAATCACTTTATTGGATGTAAAACAGTTACTTGGCTTGACATGGCCGTAGGTAGAGTTCAAAAAGTTCGAAATCGTTTCTGGGTAATGAATTATATTCAACCAGCCCGATTCCCGAAAAAGAAACATCACTGACCTTTCGCTCTTTTATTACTATTTTCATGACAAATCTTCAGACGAACTACATTCATTCCTTCCACCGTTTCAGACATTTACAGCTAGTAGTGATCAAATAACGTACAGAAGTTCAAATTATCCTCATCCACTTCATTTTCAATTTCTAAGAAGACAGTTCCTCTCAGTAATTTCCTTTCCAAGAACCGTTACATTGTGAAACGGACTCCCGAGAATATAAAGAAAAAAAATGTTATAATGCATGTCTATGCCGTTGAGAAAGTTTTCAGATTCGTACAATATAAAGAATAATAAAACTAATTATTGAAAGAAACATTATTTTTTACAAAGGCAAATATACTTAAAAAAAAAAGAAAGAAGGAAATAACTTAAGTACAGAAAAATAGGGAAAGGTATGATGGGAGGAAGAAGAAACTAAGTGTTGAGAAGAAGGAAAGAGAGATAAAGGAAAAGAAAAAATTACAGGAAATGGGGAAAGAAAGAGAATAAAGTGAAAAGAGATAAAGGGAGAAAGAAAAGTAAGAAAGAAGAGTAAATGTGCAAATAAAAGTGAACAAAAAAGGAAAAAAAAACGAGGAAAAACAATTAAATGGAACAAAAAAAAACGATAGAAAAAGAAAGAAAGGAAGAATTCTCCAAAAAGAAAGAAAGAAAAAAAAACGAAACGAAGAAATAAAATACAAAAAAGAAATGATTAAAAAAAAAAAAGTAAAAAATCTGCATCGAAAGAATGAAAGTGATACAGAAAGAAAGAAAGAAAGAAAGAAAGAAAGAAAAGAAAGAAAGAAAGAATGAAAGCGATACAGAAAGAAAGAAAGAATGAAAGCGATACAGAAAGAAAAAAAAGAAAGAATGAAAGCGATACAGAAAGAAAGAAAGAAAGAAAAGAAAGAAAGAATGAAAGCGATACAGAAAGAAAGAAAGAATGAAAGCGATACAGAAAGAAAGAAAGAATGAAAACGATACAAAAAGAAAGAAAGAAACAGAAATGATAATAGAAAGAAAGAAAATAAAAAAAGCAAATAAAAGTGTGAAAAAGTAACAAAAAAAAAAAAGGAAGGAAGAAAGAAATTCCAGCGTTCCAAGAAAAAAAAAACGTAAAAGAAAGAAAATGGAAAAAGGGTGCAAAGAAAGAAAGAAGAGATAAATTAATAAAACGAATATCTTAATCTAGTTAAAAGAATGTGCTCTGACAGATGAAGTCAAAATATCCAGAAAACATACGTAGCAGAATAGAAAACAATATATTGGGCAAAATTAGGAAGGAAGGAAGGAAGTGAGGAAAGTAAAAAGAAATGGAAAAGAAAAACAAAGGAAAAGAAAAACAATGGAAAAGGAAAGGAAAAATACGTAAAGCAAAGAAAAAGAAAAGTAAAGAAAAGTAAAAGGAAGTGGAAAGTTATGGAAAAGGAAGAGGAAAAGAAAGAAAAAAGAAAAGGAAATAATGAAAGAGTAAAAGAAAATCCGGTAATAGTTTAGCGGTTATCGATTGTCATAAAACAACTATTTTGGGAGCACACAAGTAATTTATCATCCGAAACTATTAGTTATAGCAGTGAATGTCTTGGAAACCAACATCAACGATGGGACCATTACATTTCCACTCTGTTCGTCTCCAGACAACCTTAGCTGCCTTCAAATAGCTATCATATCCGCATTTTCTCAACAACCCTACCTTTACAAAACCATCAATTCCTCTTCATTATAGACTTCATTTCGTTCCTCATCACTTCTTCTTCTTCTTCTTCTTCTTATTATTATTATTATTATTATTAGTGAGCGGGTGTAGAGCAGGGTAGAATGGTGATGCTGGGGTACAAATATACAAAGCCCAGAAAATTCAACATGGCACGCAGTTTGATCAGGTTGTAGCAGCCACATGCATCACAGCCAAGTTTTTATTGTTATTGTTATTATTAGTAGTAGTAGTACTACTAGTAGTAGTAGTAGTGGTGGCGGTGTTAGTCGTATTAGTATTTTAATTTTTCCTAATATACTATTTGATACAATCTTTACCAAATCTTTTACTGAGGTAAATTAATATTTTTCACAGAAATGTATTAAACATATATGGAGTCTGTCTATATTTCTGAGATGAGGTATTATGTACAGTATTTACATTAGTCGGACTATTGTCCTCATCTTTGTCGCCATATTTGTCACAACGTTTCGGCCGTTGTACGCTCCGGCCTTCTTCAGGTGGTTGGAATTTCGAACTGAACCCTTTATTTCGCTCACTGGGGTAGACTGTTCTAGTTCCACGTGCCATGTTTGATGGTTGTCAGTTATCAGTTATCTCCTGCTAATTTTCCCTCTGAAAGTTTCCTTAACCAGGAATTGAACTCACCTTCTTTGGGTCTGTCACTGGATCTAACCAACGCCTTTATCCACTGTGCCATGTGTCCATAATTTTTATCTGTTTAAGCAATTATTATTATTATTATTGTTGTTGTTGTTAATGATACTAATAGAAATAACTAAGTGATAGTGATTGACTTTCAAGTAATTTTCATTGATATTAATCACATTTATGACGGTTTATATCCCCAATTTTGTAGTAATATTATCTAGGAAGTGTTTTAACAGAGGTTGAAAAATATGACATTGAAATCCTTGGCGAATTTGGCATAGGGAAAGATATCTTCAAAAAAACTAAACAAAGTAGAAAGAAACAGACGCAAAGAGAAGTGTTGAACTGCTACATAATATATGAGAGTGAAAGCTGTTAAATGACCTCAGAGATGATGAGAAGAATTGAGGATAGAGAAATGTTTTTTTTTAGAATAGACACCTGAAAGCACAATGGATGGAGAGTTAAAGCAAATTTTTGCTTTAATGATAAATGAAGAAAAAAAAACTGAACGAACATTTAGAATGATGAAGATAAAGTTGAAAATTCTAAGGGATGGAATTAGGCAGGTCGGCTTGCAAAACTTGGCACTCACAGCAGAAATCGAAAATGAAAGACATAAGAGAAGGAGCATATGTGAATGGATTGCAGAACAATGTGTGGGAGGGGTGGTAGAACAATATAAAAAATCCTGAAGATCTACAAATGATAGGAAATTGAGGAAAACCTTGATACATTTCCGTTAAAACCGTGTCTATGAAAAGATTTTTAAGCAGAGAATAATGGAAATTCTACAGACAAAGAAGACTTCCATGGAATAAGTAATAGCTCTTAGACATGTTGGCATCATCTACGCCGTAATGATTCCGAAAATCCATGCATAATTATAATGTGGAAGATAAAGTTGTCTATAAAAAAGAGTGAAAATTGTTAACATAATTAAAATTATAAAAATAAGCAAACTATTTCGAGACACGCGATCATAAATTCGCGTACAAACACACACACACACACACATATATATATATATAGATAGATAGATAGATAGATAGATAAACTACATCCGGCAGCAAGGGTTTAGATCGGAATATTGGAAGTTTTGAGAAGCGTGGAACTGCTGTTCTTCCCAGGTTAGCTCTGAATGCGAATGATAGTAACTGTAAAGTTCACAGGAATCGACAAATAGTGAACCACAAATAAAAATCAACAATAAGTTTTTAAAGTAAAATTACCAGCACTACATTTTTATCAAAACCTTTACCAATAGTACTTTTCATCATCTATAAACTATATATTTAAAAAATAAAACGTAGGTATATTATACAATTTAGTATACAATTTTGTTCAAAATATATCTGGTCTTAGAAAGGGTTATATAAAAATAGTGCACCATGAACAGTTCATGAAATCGAAAATGCAGAGATGTTTAACATTTAAAATCTTATAAACATCAGCCTTTTCTTTTACTGTGTTTTCCACCAATAACGGTGGTCGCAGAAAAGGTTGGAGTTTAGAATATTATATATATATATATATATATATATATATATATATATATATATATATATATATATATATATATATATATATATATATATATATAAAATTAAAAATATATTTATATATATATATATATATATATATATATATTACAACGAAGCATTCATACAAAAATTAAATCAAAAAAGTTAACGATATAAAATGGTGAAATCCCTTCTCTAACTAAAATTTAAAGATGCCTTATCCCACTAGTCACTTGAATGTTATGATCCTTGTTTTGTTTTGTTTTTTTATTATAAACTGCATTAGGGTCGTCCTTAAATACGTAAGTACTTTTGAGTTTCCTTCAGTCATTATCAGCAATGGAAATTATTTTTTTTTGTAAAATCCAAGTAGTATCCGAGATGAAGAATATAATGCGAATCGAAATGTTTTTTTTTTTTTAAATGTGTTATTGATAATGGATACAAACTTGTAGAGCGTTCAGTTGCAACGCAAAGGTTAAATTGTTTTGAAAATTTAAGTGATTGCGGTTTTTGCTAAAATGGCAGTTTATGAATGTTTTTTTTTTTTTTGTAGGAGTTTATCAGCCAACGTCACATGAAATAAAGAGTTCAATAATTTGAGTAATGTCTCAGTGGTTATCCCAAAACATTTGCACGTCAGATCAGTTCTTCTACAGGAAATATATGGTTCTGTTGAGGATGTGCAGAATTTATTAATTATGCTTGAAAGAATCAGAAGGAATTTGTGTAGGTTGCGTGACTTTCTGCATCCACAACAAATAAATAAACGAAATTTAAAACACGATTAAGAACAAGACATATTCAATTAGAAATTAATATAACATTTATATACAATTCAAAACAATATACAAGCAGGATAATTGGTATATGTTATGTTGGCAAAATGTGTATGATGTTTTAGATTTCAGAATGTCTTTCTTTGTAATTGTTCGTTCATTTACAGTCTTTTTAGGTTTGTGTTGATATTAATATTTGTCGATATTAAGTGTCTTTTTAGAAGGAGTTCGGAAGGAATGATCTATCTTTGACTGTAATGTTTTTAAGGTCGTTCGCACATTGATATTTAGTTAATAGGTAGTGAATATAATTCACTTTAGATAAGCAATGTTTGAGAATCGATGTCCACAGAGTTGATTGAGTTTTGATCGTGAGTGAGTCGGCGTTGATGTACTTTGCGCGGTTAAAATCGTGATTTCGGGTGACGTGGAGTATGTTGGCAATTTCTCTGTGGGTGTTTGTTACTGACTGCTTGGGGCAGTCGGCGTTTACTTTTATAAGTCCTGAAAGTCCGAAATTGGCTCACTTGAGTTTTGGCAAAATTTCGTTTTTGCACGTGAACTTTCAGTAATGAACCAATGAGATTGGTTGATTCGCCTAGAACGGTTTTAATTGGTTGGAGTTTTCCGTACGTAGGTGTAAGATATAGACTGTTCTGTTGCTAGGGGTGATAGGTAAGAAAAAGACGAGTCTACAGTTCAGTTTAATTTATATTACAATGAATCATTTAGAGAAAAGGTAAATTAGTAAAGTTAATGATATAAAATGGCGACCTCCCATCGCTAACTAAATTTTAAAGATGCACTAACACACTAATCACTAATTAATACATATTTTATATATATATATATATATATATATATATACACATGTATATATATATATATATATATATTATAATATTTTTTATTATAATAAATTACAATAAAGATATTTTACATCGCTACACAAAAGTTTCATGATTCAGTACAAAGATTTTACTTCCACAAGTGATGCTTAATAATTTCTGATAAAAATGATTTATTAGGGAAAATTATGACAAAATCATTACCTGTTTTCAAATGTTCAGGATTAAAAAAGAATATACTTATGGGTATGTCTAGATTAACCAATTTAACATCAGATCTACGTTAAAATATAAAAATAATGTCATAGGGGGTGGTGAGCGGGTTATATTTATGTCGGGAAAACTGACGCTTAAACATATTATCCAAAGATACTAGGGGATATTTTAACGTCAAATGCATTATGGGTGTATCCAAGTATGATTTCCTGATTTGTTGAAGTAGACATAACGTTATTAGAAAGAGATTTTTTTTTTAGAATAATTTTTTAAAGAACATTTTATGTAATAAAGAAGCTTCGTAAAGGGGCCAATAGATAAAATATGGAAACATCTATAGGCGTTCATAATTATACTGAATAAACGGTAAAAAATGACAATATTAAAGTTGAAATATGAAATAAGTATCAGCAGGACCATTACATACTAATAAAGTATTGGCTATATAATTTTA